GTGGACCCCCTCTCTATATGAGTTTGACATGACTGTCCTAGATGACCTGAAAATTCTCTTCCAGCTCTCCAAGTGTGACTATGCCAGTGTGTAGCTGAAATGGAACCTGAGGGGGGAGGAATGATATTTTCACTTCCTCAGAGGTGATTAACAATGATGTCTGAGTCTCCCAGGATAATGTTGGTGGATAGAGAGAGAGGGTGAACATAAGCTTAGAACTAAGTCACTGAGAATGTTGAAACTGACCTGGGAGTTGGTAAATGAAAGCAGCAAGGATGAGGACAAGGTGGAATACATGGCTTATGTGGATTGTAAGGGCTGATTGGTTATGGGGGAACAGAGGCAGTAGAATGATCTAGAAATGAGTATGCCTATGCTTCCTTCCAATCCTGTGAGCTGGAGGAGGTAGGTGAAGGCCTTCTAATAGATAGGATTCTGAACAATGTAGTATCATCTGGGGAGAAGTCACATCCTAGTTAAGATGAAGCAGTGGAAGGAGTACTGGTTGAAAAGGTCAAAGCTGTAACCTCAGTTGCCTCACAAAAAACCCCCAAAAACAACAAAAAAGTTAAAAATTATTTTGCATGTAATTGGGGGAAAATAAAATATTAAATTAAAAAAGATTTTTCTGTATCTATTGATATAATTGTATTTTTTTGTTGATTTTGTTATTGAAATAATCAATTATGTTAATAATTTTTCTTATACTGAATCAGGTTGGTATTCATGATATAAATCCTGCTAGGTCACATTGTAAAAAAAGAGAGAGAGAGAGAGAGAGAGAGAGAGAGAGAAGGTCAAAGCCGTAGGGGAGATTATTGAAGATAGAGCAGAGGTCACAGAATCATAAATTTAGAGCTGGAAGGGACCTCAGGAGCCAGCCAGCCCCACACTCACATTTTAAAGGCGGGGAAACTGAGGCCCCACGAGGTAATCAGTGATTTACCTAAGGTCGTACAGATAGTAAGTGGCAGAGACAGGATTCCAACTTTGATGCAATGATTATAAATCTCATATCCTTTCTACCATACCATGCTGCTTCCCACAGGGAGATGATGGGGTAGGGTCACCTTCTTCTAGAGCCGGGTTTCTTAAACATTGTCATGGTATAGAAACTTTTGGCAGTCTGGTGATGCCTCTGGATTCCTTCTCTGAATAACGTTTTTAAAATGCATGAAATAAAATACATAGGATTATAAAGGAAAATAAAGGTTGGTGAAAATAAAGATTTAATTTTTTCCCATCTAAGTTCACTGACTCCGTAAAATCTATCCATAGAACCCTTGGAGTCAGTGAACTTCGGGATGAGAACCCCTCATCTAGAAGGGTGATGGGTCTGATCATCATCCCTCAGAAGAATAATGAAATTCCTCTCTCCTAGAGGAATGATGGAGACATCTGCATGTACACACACTCACTCACACACACACACACACACACACACACACACACACACACACACACACACACAGAATGGAATGGTCTAAGTAGACAGGGGTGAGGAAGCTGTGGCCTTTTAGATCCTTGGGTGTGGCCTTTTGACTGAGTCCAAGTTTTATAGAACAAATCCTTTTATTAAGAGGATTTGTTCTGTGAAGTTTGGATTCAGTCAAAAGGCTGCACTTGAGGACGTAGAGGGCCACATGTGGTCTTGAGGCTGCAGGTTCCCCACCCCTGGAAGAGATGAATGAACCAGGTTGGGGTGGGACTGGGAAGGAGCAGGGCTAATCAGAATAGAGATAAGGATTCAGGACAAAGCAGCGGGAATATGTAGTTTGCATATAAGGCAATGAGACTGGATGACTTGGAGTAGGGCACTAGCACTATAAGAATCAGTCTGGCAGCATCCCACAGACCACCAGTCCTGCTTACAGTCCAGCCCTCACAAGTTACTCCCGTGAAAAGATGTCAGCCATCACCACCAACTGTCAATCACCCGTCACATACAGGGTCAGCAGACCAGTCTAACAGTAAATTACCCTTAGGAAGACACAGAAGACAACATGTGTCAGGTAAGTCAAACCACCACCACCACTACCACCTTGACCACTATCTCCCCTCAGACCCTCTGGGAGACAGCCCAAGATCCTGAACCCAAGAGCCTTTGGAATAGCTTCCAGCCCAGTGTCCACAGGTAACAACCTGGGAAACAGCTCCTTGGGGAACACAGCCTGGACAACTGTTCCTAGAGCTGCTGTAGTCACAGCTACCAAAGAGCCAGGAAAGAAAGTTGTCACCAAAGTCCTTGGCTCTATCAAGTGACTCAGCATCAGAATCTGATATGATTTTATTAATGGAGATGACATTTAGGAAGAGGTATTATTACCATCTGCTTTACTGATGCTCCCTAAGGACCATAGGATTTTTCCCATCTGACTTGCAGCTAAAACTTTCTCTAAGTGTTGTGTCCCCCATTAGAATGTAAGCTGTTTGAGGGAAGGACTGCCTTATTTTTCTATTTGCATCCTCAGTGTATAGCACAGTGCTTTGCCATAGTAAGCCTTTAATAAATGCTCCCCCCATTCATTCATTCAACATGAAAAGTTTTAAGTGGATGTAGAATGCTGGTATTTTAGGGGTATCCCTGTGAGAAATCTTTGCCCAGGCAGACATATGCCCCCATTCATTGGCTAAAATTCTAGATCACAATTCTAGAAGCAGAAAGAACCTTAGAGGCTGCTGAGCCCAACCTCCTTGTTTTGCAGGCGTGGAAACTATAAAATCATCTATTTAGTATTCAAAGCCCTCCATAAGCTTCCCCTACACACACAACACACACACACACACACACACACACACACACACACCCCTTTCCAGTCTTTTTACACCTTATAAACATCCATCCACCCACGGATTCCTTGATCCAGCATGGCTGGCCTACTTGGCTGTTCCTCAAATGAGATGCTTCATCTCCTGACTCCTGACATTTTCACTTACTGTCCCTCATGCCAGAAATGCTCATCCTCTTCATCTCTGCCTCCTAACTTCTCTGGCTTCCTTCAAGTCTCAGCTAACGTCTTACTTTCTATAGGAAGCCTTTCCCAATCTCCCTTAATGCCAATGCCTTCTCTCTATTGATTATTTCCAATTTTTCCCACATACAGTTTGTACATAGAGTCTATTTTCTCTCTCTTCACACCCCTCATTAGATTGTGAGCTCTTTGAGAGCATGGACTGTATTTTGACTTTTCTTTTATCCCGTGGCACATAGTAGGCACTTAATGTTTGTTGACTGAATGACTGACCTAAACTCTTGAGACAGATGGTAAGGCCTGAAGCTGGGGGTAAAAGACATCAATCTAAATCTGGTTACTGACACATCTGAATTCTACAGCTCCCTCCTATTCCAACCTCAAAAAGGGAGAGCTGTGATCACTGGGTTTGCTCCAAGGAGATGGAGAAACCAAGCAACCTATTTTCCAGTTAACCAAAAGATAGACATCCATGATCTCAGTGAGCCCCAGGGCTAGAACAAGGGCTCAGGACTGCCCCTCCCCACAAAGCCAGCCTTAATGAGAGGACTGTAAGGAAACACTCCCTAAAGCAACTTCAGCAAATATGGATTTACATTTAGGGCTATGGAAAGCTCAGTCTGGGCTGTACTGGGGCCCCACACCAACTGATGAGGATGCTGTTGGCACCATCATGGTCTTATGGACTCCTGGGACTGTCTCTGTAGCTCTGGCTCCAATCAGCCTTCACTGTTTCTTTCTAATAATGAGAATACCGATCAAAAGGCAGCAAGCAAGAAGGTACACGTTGCTTATTACGTGTTTATTACATGCATAATACTGTTAATTACACAGATAATCTTGTTTATCACATGCAGGGTCCTTTCTTACAACTCCTGGGTTTCCCATTCTGTTCCCACCGTGAAGATGAGCACAGCAAAAGCTTCACTGCTGTGTTTAGGTATCCTGGAAAGAGCATTGTCTGTACCCTTTAATACAGAGATACCACAACGAGGCATATACCCCAAGAAAGTGAAAGACAAAAAGAAAGGTCATGTCTATATATATACCAAAATATTCATAGCAATACTTTTGTGGTAGCAAAGAAGTACAAAGTGCCCATTGCCTGAAGAATGGGTAAAGAGACTGTGGCACATGAACATACAGGAATAATATTGTGCCATAAGAAACAACAAGTTTGAGGAATTCAGAGAAACATGCAAAGACTTGCATGAAGTGATACAGGATAAAGTGATCAGAACCAGAAAAACAATGTACACAATGATAACATAAAAGGAAATAGTAAGTACTATAACAAAATGGAATGTTGTATAATTATAATGACTAAGATAGGCTCCAGAGAAGAAATAATGAGGCAATTTACCTCCTTCCTTTCATTAGAGAAGTGAGGGAATAGTGTTAGGGAATGTCATACTGTCAGACGCCTATGATGTCAGTTAAATCATAGGATCATAGATTTAGAGCTGAAGGGACCTTAGAGGCCATCTAGTTCAAGCTCTATTTTGCAGATGAGGAAACTGAGGCACAGAGAAGTTGTGTCTTTCAACTAGTATTTGAGGTGAAATTTGAACTGAGGTCCTCTTGAACCATTACACTTCAAGATCTTTGAGGGCAAGGGCTGTCTTTTTGCATCCCCAGTGCTTAGCACAATGCCTGGCACATAGTAGGCACTTAATAAACATTTATTGACTGAGTGACTTCAAGACCAGTGTCTAATACAATATGCCATGCTGGGGAAAGGAAGGCAGGAAGGGAGGCAAGAGGGATGGGAAGGAAAGAAGGAAGGAAAGGAAGGAAGGAAGGAAGGAAGGAAGGAAGGAAGGAAGGAAGGAAGGAAGGGAGGAAGGAAGGGAGGAAGGAGGGGAGGAAGGGGGGAGGAAGGAAGGAAGGAAGGAAGGAAGGAAGGAAGGAAGGAAGGAAGGAAGGAAGGAGGGAAGGAAGGAGGGAAGGAAGGAGGGAGGAAGGAGGGAGGGAAGGAGGGAGGGAAGGAAGGAAGGAAGGAAGGAAGGAAGGAAGGAAGGAAGGAAGGAAGGAAGAAAGGAAGGAAGGAAGGAGGGAGGGAAGGAAGGAAGGAAGGAAGGAAGGCAGGAAGGCAGGCATTGGTCTTTAAAGTTAGAATTCCTGGGCTCATATTCTGGTTTTACCACTTGGTAGTGTCATAACATGTAAATCATTTCACCTTCCTGAGTTTTGGTTCCTCATCTGAAAATGGGGATAATAATACTACATAAGCTCACAAGCATTGCTGTGAGGAAAGTGCTTTGTAAACCTTAAAGCTCAACAGACATGGGAGCTCTTATTCTTGTTACCACGGAGCTACTGCCCTGTTAGGAGGTGGCCAATCACTCCCTAAATTATTGTTCCTTTGGTTAGAACTCCCGGAGTGACACATGCTGTATCCTTGTGAAGAAGGGCTGGGGCTATCACTATTTTTTTAGTTGGTTATCTGGAGGTTTTTCTGCTTCCCAAGTACACATTCCGGAACAGAGGCTTGCAGTTTTTGTAATGTGGAAAGGATGATGGGAATGAAATAATCTGTCATTAATCCAATAATAGCTCAGCTATAGGGAAAAAGTGTTGGCAGCTTCACCAACTGTGAATTCACATTTAGGGCTATTGAAAGCCCAAACAGAATTTTATTGGAGCACCACGCCTACTGATAAGGATGCTGTTGGCCCCATAGTAGTCTTACGGAGCTCCTAGGACCATCTCTGTAGCGTTGGCTCCAATCAGCCCTCACCACACCCACGCCCTTCCCAATGGCACAGCACCATAAACTTATTTTCTTATTTTGCTCCATTTCTAACACATTCTAGTTATCAGTAACCCCAGAAATTGGCCCCCAGAGACACCACAGAGAATCATAAAGCTGAAGAGATAGACATTAATCTGCAGAGAATGAGAGAAAAACATCATCACATAGCACAAGGGGTTCTGTTCCTTCCCGGTCCTTCTTCCTCCTCTCACGGAAATATAGGCAAGGCCATGGCTCCTGATGGCCTGGATCAACCCAACGTATTTCAAAGTCCAACTCAGACCTAAGAGAGGTCTATTCTTCACCCATTACATTTAGTTAGAGAGAAATCCTCAACGGCGGTCTGAATGAGAGAACAGTGAGTACACAGTGCACAGTAGGCACTGGCTGCCTTTCTGGCTACAGATTTAAGAGCAAGAAAAACACGGAAGCCACAGGGAGCACTTCAGAGCGTGTAGAGAGTTGCAGCTAACAAATATTAAAGCATTTAGTCTCTCTTCCTGGAGGTATCCAGTCCATCCCAGAAAAGTACAGAATTCTTCATTCTTTGCAGGAATTTAGTAGGCACAGCAATACCTCTAGAGGCCCCTTCCCTGCCTGGTCCTCAGTTTCCTCATCTTTAAAATAAGGGCATTGAACTAGATGGTTTCTGAAGGTTCCCATCCACCTCCACTCAGTCAATCATCTGGCATATGCCAAGCACCTTGGTGTGGGGTCTTCTGTGCATTAGATTTCTCTTCTTTTGAAGTAAATCATCACTGAGAAATCATCACCATTTCCCCCCTTACATTGCTGAGGAAAGAACACTGAATATATTATGGCCTGTGCATAAAAATATTATAAGAGCCCTTCTATGCCTTGCCAGTAAGGATGGACAATATTACTGGTGGGCCTGGACACCATGGTAAGCCACAGGTCAGTCACAGAAGTCTTTAGTGTGTAATGGGTGAGGGGCACACCTTGTGAATGAAAAGGGGCCCAGAAATCAGAAGCACAGGCTCTTTTCCCATGCACTAAAAGGGTTTGCAGAAAGTAGCTGTAACAAAGCATCAGCAAACACGAAACACCAACAGCTCTCGGGCTGAGCATTTAGGAGAAATGTTTGCGCGTCTAGAAAGCGTGTTCAAGGCTCCCAGGGGCATTCAGACTCTTGGTTTGTTGTGCCCTGCTGGCTGCTGCTCATTTCAGGAAAGTCTTGTAACGTGGAATCAGGGCAACAGCAAGGCACTCTTTCCTCTCATGGCTGATCCGGCCCTGGGCACGGTGGATGACTGGAAGTCTGGGCCAAAGGGAGCAAGTGCCAGCAGCTGCCGAGAGCCAAGGCAAAGGGCAGCTAGAACTCTCCCAGATCTAGCTCGGCGTTGGCACACCCCTGTGATCATTCCCCAGGGCTACTCTGCCACCTCATTCAATTAGGCTCCAGCCCTTCCATCTAGGTTCCCCCCCAACAAGATCCCAAAGGAGACAGAACAGGGGAACACAGAAATAGAATGTCAGAGTTAGAAAGAACCTTGGAGATCATCAAGTTCACCTGCTCTCATTTTACATATGAGGCAGGATTGGTAAAGGTGAGGAATGGGCCTGGTCCGTGGATACATCATCAGGCATCCTGGGGCAGCAAGGCCCAGGGAACGGGATCATAGACAGCACATGGGATGACACCCAGCACCATTACGAGCACTTTTCTATCCTGAGACATCAGGTTTTCCTCTCCATCCCCTGAAAGGTAAAAAGTAAATAACCAAATCCTCCACAAGGATTTCTGTGAGATCGTGGCCATCCACGTGTCCTTGTGTTTTTACATCCCCGTTACTGTGCTTGGATGGGTGTTGGTGTGTGTGTCTCCATGTCTGTGTGAATGTCTTGGTGGGTCTCTGTACATCTACGTGTGTATATGTGTATTCGTGTGTGTGCGTGTTTTCATAAGTGGAGTGTTAGCCTGAAGGCCAGACGCCCTCTGCATAGGCTATTTTCTCCCCATTGCCCCTCTGCTCACCATACCAGGAAGGCATATTTTTGGTCCAGCTGTGACCAATCACAGAAACAGCCCTTGTTTTGAGTCTGTTTCCACGTGGACTTCCTCCCCTGGTTTTGTGGCTCTGCCCCTGGCAGAGCCGCTCTGAGGCCACAGCCTCTAAGGGTCACAGTCACAAAGCCATCCTGACGGTATCCAGCCCCACAGCTGATCCTTTTGCCCAACACTGAGTCTGAAGAGAACTCCACTACAGAGCTGTTACCTGCGTGAGTTCTGTGTTGGGTGTGGATGGACTTTGGGGGCTGGTGGGCATTATGGGGAGTTCCACGCCTAGTCATGCGGGCCTGGGTACAGTTTCTGAAGTCTTGCAGGCAAATGCCACATCCTTGGCAATGCTCCGCACACGGTCAGACACCTGCAGCTCCCGGCGTAGGGAGGATGCACAGCAGAACTTACGAAAACAGGCCTTGAAGTTCTCATCCAGGAAAGCATAGAGGATGGGGTTCAGGCCACTGTTAGCGTAGCCCAGGACGATGCAGAAGTGCAGGACAGCCACCGCAGCTCTACTGGCCGGCTCGACTCCCTGGCTCTGAGCCAGGACAAATACCTGGATAGGGGTCCAGCACCCCACAAATACAGCCACTACCACTAGAACGAGCCGAGTGATGCGCCGCAGGTTGCGGTCCTTCTCCCTTGAGCCAGAGAGTACTCGGACACTGCGGAGCCGCCGGATCATGAGGCTATAGCAGGCTGAGATGATGAGGACAGGAATCACAAAAGAGAAGAGGAACACGCAGATCCCAAACACGGAGCGCCAATAATTCTCAGGGGTGGGGTACTCCAGCAGGCACTCAATCTCTATCAAGAAAAAGAAAACAAGCATGAGGACCAGCCAGCCACAGCTTCCCCACTGACCCCAGCACTGGGCCCATCACTTGAGGGAGGGTCCCAGTTGGAGCTGAGTCACTAGAACTTCCCCAGCCCTCCAAATATCCCCACTCTCATTCTAGGTCCTGTCTAAATCTCCACTCCACCACCACCACCATTATCTGTACAAGGTAGGTTATGTCTACCATCTCTCAAAGGGACATTGGGTCTGGCCACTTGCTCACAGAAGAATGAAGGAACTAGATGGGTCTGGCTTCCTCCATGTCATAAGATCATATAGAGTTGTAAGTGACCTTAGAAGTCATCTGGTCCACCTCCTCCATTCAACAGAAGAAGAAACTGAGACCCAGAGAGGTTAGATGGCTTTGGGGATCACAAATTTCAAACTGGAATGGATCCTAGAAGCCATCAAGTATAACCCCCTTTCATTTTGCAGACCAAAAAAAAACTGAGATACAGAAAGGCTAATTGATTTGCCCTGGGCTCTATGGGTACTGAATGTCTGAGGCAGGACTTGAACCCTTCCTACTCTAAGTCCAATGCCCCATCTATTATACCATGATGGCAGTAAGCAGTAGAGGTAAGATTCAAACCCAGGTTCTCTGACTATAAATTGAGCACAATTTGCACAGTGCCATACTTCCTCCTACAGTAGGAAAATGTATCTGGATGGGTATGATCAACTTCCTCTAAAGCAGAAATTCTTAACCTGGTTAGGGGTCCATTGTAATTAGATGAGAAAGAAACTACATCTTTATTTTTACTAACCTCTAACTGAAATTTAGCATTTCCTTCAAGTATTAATTTTTTTTAAAAAGCATTATTCTAAGAAAGGGTATATAGGCTTTACCAGACTGCCAACATATCCACGATACAAAAGAATGTTAAGAACCCCTGCTCTAGAGACATAAGGGGTCTAGTCTCTTTTCCCCAGAAGGATAGAGACTCTGCATGGGTCTGTCTTTTCCCCAGAGAAATGATAGGTCTAGGCATCCTCCCCCAGAGAAATGATGAATTTGCCCTCAAAGGGTTGATGGTCTGCCTACCACCACCTCATATATGCGCACTAACCATCATCATCATCCATCTGGGCTGAGCCCATGACTGTGACAGGAACACCAATGAGGGAAGCTAGGGCCCAGATGCCAACGTTGACAGCCTTGGCCTTGTTGGGTGTGCGGATGTCCAGGGCCCGGACTGGGTGGCAGATGGCAATGTAGCGGTCCACACTCATGGCAGTCAGGGTGAAAGTGCTGGTGAACATGTTGTAGTAGTCAATGGCAATGACCGTCTTGCACAGCGCATTTCCAAATGGCCAGTAGCCCAAGAAGACATCAGTGCCTTGGAAAGGCAGAGTCAACAGGACCAGGGCATCTGCCAGTGCCAAGTTAAAGATGTAAATATTTGTAGCTGTCTTCATCTTTGTGTGTCTGTGGTGGGAGCAGAAGAGAGACAGAGAAAGGGGGGAAAATTAAATTCATGAGAACAATCATTGGGCTTTTCAGATTCCCTTAGAGACACCAAGGGATTGTGCTAGGTGGAGGAGGGAGCGGATAACAACAGCCTCAGGGGCTGACCACTCAACCTGCCCCCAAAGAAAGGACCCAGCCAGTTCAGGGAACCCAGAAAATTCAGGCCTAAGCTTTCCCATTACAGTCAGTCCTCCAAAGTGAAGACTCCTGCACATGTATGTGATTCAGAGGGACATGCTCTGATGTTTGAAACCTGAGTAGATGACCAATTCTCCCCACCCCTCAACACTCCCTCTAGACCCTGACAATAATCCTGTAACTTCCGGAGACTTGAGCTTCCCAGGTCACTTGGGTGATTGGTGACACTTTCTACCTTGGCCCAGACTGGTCATCGCTGTTTGGTGATGGCAGCATTGGAGCTGATGATAGTGACGATGGTGATACAGGTGATGATTCAGGCGATGAAAATGATAGAGACGACGACGGTGATAGATGAATAAGAGTGTTAGAGGTCACAATCGTTTTAGATGGCAATATGATGGCGGCAGTGGCGGTGATGTCAGTGGTAGTAATGGCAGCTGTGGCAATGGTGGTAGCCATGGTGATGGCAGCAGGAATGTTGGTGATAGCATTGGGGGAGATGGAGATGGCAGTGAAGATGGTAGCCATGGTGATGGTAATGGCAAAGATAATCAGGGTAGTAATCCTGATGGGGGTGGGGCAGCGGGCAGTGAGGGATATCGACTGTGTGTCCTTTGCTACGTCAGCTTTACGCTCCTGGGCAGGTTGTCAGTATGCTTTCCTGGCCCTCTCAATTCACATGCGTCGATGTCTCTGGAGAGCTTTTCACCTGCCTTGTCTATTTAAATTCAGGATGTAGGTTTGGGGTTTTTTCCCATCCCAATACTGAAGGAGGATGAAAAAGATAAAAATAGCAGCCTTAGTCTCTACTAAAATGCTTTCCCAGGAGGGCTCCAGGCTGGCCTGTCCAAATGATGTCGTCAGGGAAGGACATCTAGGACAGGTGGGGTCCACACTGGCGGTTGTAAAGCATAGTTGCATTGGAGCATTGGATTTGGAGTCACAGGACATGGGTTCAAATTTCAGCTCTACCATTGTGACATCAGACAGGTCACTTTGCCTCTTGGGCTTTAGCTTCCTTTTCTATGAAATAATGATATGTGACCCTTCTAGCTCTAAAACTATCTGTGTTCTAATAATCAATCTGGACTAGACTCAGCATTGTGCAAGATTTCAGAGATCATGTAGTTAATCTAACCACAAGTTAGAGACTAGAATGAATCCCAGGCACCTGATCCACTGTACCACACTGCTTGTCATCATCATCAGTCATCACAACTCCCACTTCTGTAGTACTTTTACAGTTAAGATACTTTCCCTACCAACTACTGTTATCCTCATTTTATATATTACTTACTTACATGTTACATATTACTTATTCACCTATGGCTGAATAAGGGTGAGTGCCCTGACCAAGATAAATATAACTAGTGTTGGAGGTAGGATTTGAACTCAGGTCTGACTCTATAGGTCTAACACTCTTTGATACATCCCTTTTGTTTGCACCTATGGTACTGCACCAAAGGTTCCAAGATGCCTTCTTGAGGAAGGCAAGACAGTAATGTCAGCTCTCAAATTATCTATGCCTTCTGTCCCTCCAACAACCTAATCTCCTCAGTCCTGCCTGTACATTTTTGCTCACATTGTCCTCCTCACAAAAAAAAAAGATGACCTCTCCTCTATCCTTTCTATAATCTACCCTATCCTATCCATCCTTCAGGGCCTAAATCAAAGCACAGCTCACTAAGCAATACACACTGTGGCCCTGTTTCCTGTGTATCCATGTTGTCTTCCTAGCCAGACCGACTTCCATGAGTGTGTGTGTGTGTGTGTGTGTATTATATATGTATATATAAAATATATGTGAATGTACCCTATTACCTATCTCATCTACAATGGGAAGCATAGGGCTGGGCACATATGTGGGCTCAATAAATCTGTGTTGAATTAAACTGTCTTGATGAAAAATTAGAGATGGGCCAGAGGAGAAATGAGAACGGGGGGGGGGGAGTTGGGGGGGGGGAGGGAGGAGGAGAAGCATCCATGACCCAAGCTCTAGAGTTCCCCAACACTGGGCTCCAGGGTCTGGCCTTAGAGGCACCATCCATTTCCACTGTGTGATGGAGCATGGCTGGCCCTAGACATGAGGCTGACATGAGAGTTAGAAAATCCCCCTCCCTCCCCACCAGGGCAGTGATCCCTCTAACTAGGCAGGCCTCAAGTGGCTCAGGACTTGCTGAAGCCTAAACCCCACAGGCATGCCTTCCAGTCAGGCCCTCAGACAGTGTCCTGCCCCGTCAGGGATCGCAGTGACCAGTTTTCTCAGAGGACCTCAGATACAGACCTCCTTTCTCATTCTGTTCCTAAGTCAAGTACCAGAGACTTGGGTCACAGCTTTTTCTCCTTCTCCCCAGGGGGTCAACAGAGCAGATTATACCAAAGATACATATTGGTCCCTAGAGCTCTAGAGCCCTACCCATTCATCACTTGCAATTGCCACTAAGAGTAGCAGGAAACTGGTGATAGCCATAGCCTCCCTATATCTGCAGCTGTCCAGATCAGCAGGGTACTAGGAGGTGTCAAAGCAAGGACAGAGGCACATCTGATTATGACATGTTAAGGAGGACCCAGAACCCACCTACCTGATGATGACATACATGACAAGGCAGTTCCCCAGCAGACCTCCTATGAACACAGCCAGGTAGACCACCACAATGGTGACCCTGAGGCCAATGGGCAGAAAGATGTCCTGGGTCACATTGATCCAGTGAGGAGGCACTCCGCTTCCATTTGGGAAGGAGAAGTTGTTGAACAGCCGGTTTCCATAGAAATCCTCCCAGAATGAGGCCAGGAAGAGGGGTTCCATGGTGCTCTCTCCACTCACTTGCCCCACACTGGCTCTGAGAAACCAAGGAAAGAGAGAAATGTGACTAGCGCCAGAGCTTCGCCTGCAAACTACCTCTCCGAGCCCCACCCCCCCAACAGACACACTCCTTCCTCACTTTTCTACCAGGCTGCCTAACGACAGTGAGACAGGTAACATGCTTACACACACACACACACACACACACACACACACACACACACTGACAGGCATGTGTGGACACAGATACATACAGAGGGACACTTGGCTACAACCCTGACAGACACGCCGGCACTGGAGAGACATACACAGAAATGCACGCACAGTAACTGCTCATTGGGAAGGATTCTAGCCTACTGTAGCCACTGCTGGGAATGTACCCCTCCTGAGACCCCCACCCATGCTTTCCTATCGTCCTGAAGTTCCCCCCCCGCCCACTCTGCACACAGAGAGAAGAAAGCCCGATCCTGTTTGTCCCTAGTGCCTGAGGACACACTAAGAACATCTCCGAGCTACCCCCACACCGCGGCCAAGCCCCGATCCTGCGACACCCAGAGCCACCCAGCCGCCCGGCTGCCCCCAACTTCTCACCCTGGGAGCAAACCCCCAGTGGGCTCAGAAACGCCCTTCCCCCAGAACAGGTAAATGTAAGTCGAGAGCCAAAGCCCAAAACAAAAAAATAAAATAAAATAAAAAAGCTGAAGGTGGGGGGCGGGGAAGGGAAGACAGCTTTAGGAAAGGATGGGGAACGAATGGCAGGCAGGCAAAAGGAATGGGGAGCAGGAGGGGATGGGGTCCGGAGGTAGGGCTGGGGGAAGATTGTCCCGCCTGGGGAAGGCTTCCCCCTCCCCCGCAGCCAGAGCTTTCTCCCACCCGGCTGGGCCAATTCCCGGCGTTGCCGCTCTGCAGACGTCTCAGAGAGCTCCTAGCCAACTGCACCCGTGGAGAAGAGAGGAAAGGAGGGGAGAGGAAGAGAGGAGTGGAGAAGAGGGGAGGGGAGAGAAGAAAGGAGAGGAAAGGAGCAGAAGGGGAAGGGAAGGGACAGGCGCAGGAGGTTTGCGGGAGAACAGGATCAGGAGGAGGAGGGGCAATTCGGGCAGGTTCGGGGAAGGGGAGAAGGGAGAGGCGGGACTGGAGGTGTCTGAGCCTAGGTTTTTACTAACTCTGAGTGCACCTAACAGACGCACACGCACTCGCTCAGACACACACACACACACACACACACACACACACACACACACACACACACACACACTGATGTAAGTCGAACACACAAACATCCACCCTTGGCCAGGTCCCTACAGAGGTCCTAGATGGAAGCCTATTTTCCTAGGATTATCCAACCAGACACTAATTAGCATCCAGATAGAAAGGAGAATGTGACCCAAAATGAGATAGGGGAGAGGAGATATCATTGTAACCATTTTACAATCTACGTGAATGTGCCTATGTGTGTGAACATACATCTCTGTCAGTGAGCGAGCCTGCGTGTGTCTACAGGTCTTTTGTGCCTTTGGCATTAGAGAAGAAACAGAATAGGATAGAGGAAAAAGCTCTGGATTAGGAGTTAAATCCCAGCTCTTCCACTGACTAGCGGCAATGGGACTGGGTGAATCCTCCCACCTTCCTGAGCCTGTTTCCTTCTCTGTTAAAACGAAGGAGTAGGATTAGATATCTCTAAGTTCTAGCACTAAATCCCATGCGATGCTTTTCCCCTTGAGGAGACAAGTGGTTGTCTAGACTCGGCTTGAAGTGCTCAAGTGAAGGGGCCCCATTACCTACCGGCATTACCTACCTACATTGGGACAGCTCTAATTATTAGGAAGTTGTTCAATATGTGAAACTGAAATTTGCTTCTCTAAAGCTCCCATCTATTGCTCCTCATTCTGCCCGTGGTGCCAAACAGAACACATCTAATCCCTCTTCCCTGTCACAGCCCTTCAAATACCCAGAAACCGCAATCCTGCCTCCTTTAAGTTTTCTCTAACTTAAACATTCCCAATTCCTTCAACTGAGCTTTGTATGACATAGTCTCAAGGTCCTTAACTGTACTTGTTCACAAGTGAGCATGGTGTTCCAGAGATGTTGTAACCAAAGCAGAGTAAAGTGAGACTCTCACTTCCCTCATTCTGGACACAATGCCTTTCCTAAAACTTCATTATTCATTAGCTTTTGGAGCTGCCATGTATAGCCATTAACCACTATTGAGCTTGCACTCCACTAAAACCCATGAATCTTTTTCACGTGAACTGCCAAGTAGATTGTAGTTGCTTAGCTGGGCTCCCTGGGTTTGCTCCTCTCCAAAGCTTGACTCTTGATGACAGTACTTCTCTCTTGAATCCATAGTCAGCTTTCTTCTCTGCTTCCAGAATTCATAGTCTCTGAAGCTGCTTCCTACCTAAAATGCTGTTATTTTCTATGGTTTTGTCTCTGTGACTTCTTTTAAGTGTGCATCCCTATTCAAGAGGCAGTTGGTGGTGCAGTGGATAGAGCATGGGGTCTGAAGTCAAGAAAGCTTAAATTCAAATCCATTCTCCAGACACTTACTAGCTGTATGACCGTGGGCAAGTCACTTAACCTCTGTTTGCCTCAGTTTCTTCAACCATAAAATGGGAGTAATAATAGCAAATAGGGTTTTTAGTGGACTGCAAACTCAAGGTTACAGGTTAGCAGGGTTCCATAAGGATAAGCTCATCACTTCTAAACTCACCACCATACTGCTAACCCAAGCCCTGATGCATGCTTCCTCTTCTCTGTTTGGAGGACTGGAGAGTGAAGTATCAAACTCCTCCCTATGCCTTCCTTCATAAAGAAGAGACTGGACTCTCAACTCACTCCATTTTGCATCTGCTCCTCTGCCTGGTTTCAGCTCCATGGAACAAGATGTCCAAAGGTGTCCAGTCCCTCCCACACCCTGGCTTTCCTGCCTCCTTTTGTGTGTTGTCTCCCTCTTATCAATTGTAAGCTTCCTGAGGGCAGATCCTACCTTTCTTTTATTAATTGTATTATTTATTATATTTATATATTATATAATATATACAATTATTTACTAATTGTATTCCCAGCACTTAGCACAGTGTCTGGTGCATAGTAATCACTTAATAGATGTTTATTGGATTGGATTGGATCAGATATGGTAAAGAGGAAAGGGGTGTGTGATTCTTCTGCATAGTGAAGGGAAGGAAACAGATGGTTGCAAAGTCATATTTAGAAGCAGAGAAGATGGAAGGTAGGAAGCTTATATTGAATAGTTTCCATCATCTCAATAAGGGAGGAGTTAGGATTATTTAACAAGAGTAGGTGGGACTTGATTTTGAAATAGCCTTGGAGGGGAGCTTCCCAAGAACTTCCAGAAAGATGCCATCATCTTTGGAGGACCACAAGGGAGCCAGATGCTCCTGGCCAAGAAAAGGATCATGGCCAAGAAGTGGAAGTGGCCAGAAAAACTTCAGGGGAATAAGATAGAATATTCATTTGGAAGCCTCCCCTGGCTTCTACCCCAGTTAGGCTGAGTAGAAATCTTAAATGTATTGTTTTTAAACTAACACTTTCTTGTTCCTTGCTTCAGCCCAATGTGACTTGAATATGGTAAAGAAGGAGGAACAAATGTCTAAATTGGGATTCCAATGATGGAGTGGGGAGGTAAGGGATCAAGGATTAAGCATGGCCATTCCCCAACACAGGGATCCCATCAGACTCAATGGTATAGAAGGTCAAAGAGGCTTAGTGTTTCCAGCCAAGGCTAAAAGATAAAGATAAGTGGATTTTTTTTTTAATAAGGAAAGGAGAAAACCTTAGGCCAAAGACAAGGGCCCCTGTAGACCAGTTCTAAGAAGAGACTGCTGTCCAGGAAGCTGATACTTTCTAGTTAGGCCTAAGGCCCAGAGTGTGAAACTTTATACCATCACCCACCCCAGGTCAAGAAAAAAAGTAAAAATGTGAATGTGCAAGACAGCCTTCCCTCCTTCCCTTCCCCTAGAACTAAATCCAGCCCAAAGGAGGAAATTATATTCCTTCTTTACTGGATTAATCTCTTAACACACACACACACATACACACACACATACACACACACACACACACACACACACACACACACACACACACACACACGTGCTCTTGTGCTTCTTAAACCAATCTAAAGGTCCATGAAGGCTCTCTGATGTTCCCTAACCTTTCACTCTCACTGGTGGATGCATAAACTCCAGTATCTACCACCAGATTTCTTTCCCTTTTTCTCCTTTCAAAATACAAGTCCAGAACTCAGTTCAGGTACCACCTCTTCCATGAAGTCTTATTCCCATCCATTATATATGATCTTTCCTTCCTCAGATTTTGCCAGAGCACTTTGTCTGCCATTTCCTTTGCATCCATCAGACTCCCCACCTCATAATTTCTGTTCTCATTCCCCTTATGTGGGTTCAGAACATAAGTATCTGACTCTGGTTTCTACTCCCCGGGGAATCCCAAATATAAATTCCTTCATGGTAGGGACTGTCCTTTCTTAATCATTGTATCCCCAGGACCTATCGCAAAACTTTATACATAGGAAGTACTTAATAAATGTATGCTAAATACATAAATGAAAATGTATTTTTCAGGATATTTATTTAAAGGAAAAAGAATAAATTCACAAATAATACAGTAGCCATATGCAATCTGAATGCATAGAGGGTTAACAGAGGGTCCCTTTCACTCACTATTTACATTGTTATGTAAATGCTAGAGCTACAGCAACAAGACAAGAGAAAGAAGTTAAAGATACAAGCACTGGCAAAGAAGAGACCAAATTATTCCTCTGTGAAGATGTCACAATGGCTTACTTAGAAAACCCCAGAGAATCAGTGAAGAAGCTAATTAAGATGATCAATTCAATTATAGTTTTTGAGATTGTCGTTTTTCAGTTGTGTCCAACTCTCTGTAACCCCCTTTTGGGGGTTTTCTTGGCAAAGGTACTAGAGTGGCTTGCCATTTCCTTCTCCAGTTCATTTTATGGGTGAGGAAACTGAAGCAAACAGAGTTAAGTGACTTGCCCAGGGTCACACAGCTAGGGTCACACACACTAGCTGTGTCATACTATTGGAACTCATGAAATCAGGATAGTATAGATAGTATCAGGATACAAAATAAATCAACAAATTATCAGCATTATTACTATAAATCAACAATTATTAAGCAATTATTATAAATCAAATTATCAGCAGTATTCTATACAATACTAACAAAATCTAGAAGGCGATAATAGAGAAATTTCATTCAAAATAACTACAAAATGCATAAAATCTGGTAGTTAACTTACCAATATACACTCAGGACTTTTCTGAATACAACTGTAAGACACTAGAGGAAAGCATGAAATAATTGCAGAATAGTCATTGTTTACAGTTAGACCTCAAACATAAAATAATCATGATACTACCTAAATCAATTTACAAATATCATGCTATACCAATCAGACTACCAAGGGATTACTTTGTTGAACAAGACAACATAATAACAAAATTCGTTTGGCACAGGTCAAAAAGTACAGAATCTCAAAGGAAATAAAGAAAAGCAGGAATGTTGGAGGCAAAGTATTACTACTGTTGTTGTTTGTCCTTCATTTTTGAAGACAACAAATGACATCATGGGTTGATGGCTTGACTCCTACGTAAATTGGATTCAAGTGAGGCAGAGTTGCAAAAAGTCATCAGCCTCACTCTTTCTTCCAAAGTCACTGAAGTCCAGTGGCAAGACAAAAGTCAAGATAACCGCCGATGGCCCAGGATGAAGGGGATGACCTTGACATCTTTGATGCCTGCCCAAGCTCTAAGCGCTCCATAGCACCTGCTTCAGCCATCTTCATGGCCACTGGAACAAACTGTTCTTATTCACTCATTCCACTGGGGGAAGTCTTCACATGCTTGGGGTAGACACCCTCCCAACTCACCACAGGGTTTGAGGCCCATTAGTTACCTTCAACCTGGTGTAGCCCATCTACCAAGACAGTTTACTGGGGTGTAGCCACCGAGAATGTTACAACTTTTTGGAGCCATAGGTGAGAGCTGAGTACCAGGTAGATACCAAAGGTGGATGAGCAACTCTGAAAAGAGCTCAGCAAACCCTTATACCGGAGGTGCTAGTCCTCCCTGAATTAGTATAACTAGATCTCAAACAATACTATAAGGCAGTAACCATCAAAACTATTTCGAACTATGCCAGTATGGCAGCATAGCCAATCATGCAGTCCTGTAATCCTTGCTACCAGAGGATGATGAAGTTGGTACAGGAGTTCTGAGCTGTGGTAGGGAGGGTTAGAGCCAATCAGTTGTCCACACTAAGCCCAGCTCCAATATAAAAGACTTATATGAACTGTGGCAGAGGGAAGAAAGCAGAACTACGAGTACAATATACAAAACAACTACAATAATGTAAATGAAAACTATATTCAAAAGCATATGAATTCAGGTTAGTTGCATTGACTAATCTTGTTTCCAGAAAATATGAAATGAAACACACTCCCTTCCTTTTAGTAGGCATATGGGGACATCTGGGTGTGGAATGCTTCCTATATCATTAGATGTCATCACTTTGTTAATCAAGTTTTCTTAATTGTTTTCTTTTTGTTTCCAAGGGAGGATTCAATGTGGTGGAGGGTTTATCATGAAACAATCATTACAGAAAAAAAAAATCAATAGACCTTTAAAAAAATTAAAATAATCAGAACAGAACTAGGCTGGTATGAATTAAACTTACTGGTATAGTTTATTCACTTCCCATCATTGATCAACATCTTAGGCCATGAGAGATCAGCATGTATTTCCATTCCTTCAAACCTTCTGCCCATAAATGGTAAATCTGCTCTAGAAGAGAACACACCCCAACAAATACACATTATATTAGCTGCACTCAACTTCCAGTTCTCTGGGCTATTTATAAAGTCACACCTTACCCACAACCAATCTGGAAACCTCTAGCTTTAGGGTTCCTCCTACCCTATCACTAACTCTCTGTTGGGGCCCTGTCAGTTTCCTCCACCCAAGGAGGCTTCACGATAAAGGGTGTTTCAAAAGTCTGCACTAAGACCTTTGGGATACCTTGTATGATTTTACACAGGTAAAGACAAACAATCATACACACACACACCCCCCAAAGATTAATTCAAATGTACATTACAGTGCTAAACGTCCTTGACTTACCACAGGGTACCTTCCTGCGACCATACCTCTCCAGTTCCCCAAACTGGGGCTCTCCCTGCCAAGCTATCCCCAGACCAGGTTCCCCCTGATTAGTCTAGTCAAGAGTTCTTAATCTGGGGACCATGAATTTTTTTTTAAATATTTTTATTCCTATATTTCAATATAATTAATTTCCTTTGTAATCCTACGTATTTTATACATTTTAAAACATTAGTCTGAGAAAGAGTCCATAGACTTTACTATACTATCAAAAAAGGGTCCATTACCAAAAAAATTAAGGGTCCCTGATCCAAGAGCTCAAACCACTTTCTTTTTCTTCCTCTAGCAAAGAGCCTGCAAGACACAGTCATGGCCCTCACTGGGTTTTTTTCTATATCATTAGTTCTCCATCCCACCCATGTCATGACATATATTCTAGCATATGGATTTGGAAATGGATTAGGAGGTGGGGTGGGAATTAGGGGTGAAAACTGGTGGGCCTGATAGTCCTTGCTTACTAGGTGAATATGTAGCAGTGATTACTCCACTTAAAGGCCAATTATATTATACTTCACCAGGATTCTCCAGTACCTTTAAGTGGTTTGGGGATATCTCATCTCTGTCTAGCTGAAGCCCTCATTTATTGTGTTCCCCAAATTTTAGGGAGTCCCAGAACCCCAGTTTCATCTAACAGTCAAATTAGCTTTTATAATGGAATATTCAAAGATAATAGCAAGAACAAATGTACAAATATTTCTCCCATCACCAGGGGCATGATCTCACACACAGACCTTTTATTCTTTGAGCAGGTGAAGAGGATTAAATTCACAGCTTAACTCACTTCACTAGTTCCACTACATTCTAAATCCAAACCTCCAACCCACCTCCCAGGCTTGCATCCTGGGACCCTGGCTTCTGAGGATTTCCCTTAGTTCTAGGAAGCCCTGGATTCATCCCTGAAAGGCCCTGATTTGTTCATCAGTGAGCAGACATTGACAAAACCACCTGTCAGCCCTTAATACCCCACGTGCTTTCCAGCTGTGCTCTCAGTCTCCACTCGCCTCACATGACTTAGACACCATTTTCCAAAAACAAAAGAATTTTCTTTTATTACCAGGAATAATCAGAGCCATTCATCTGACTCTCCTGGGGATAAATTAATCTTACCAGTAGTAAGTCATGTCATTTACAGAATGTTGCAAGCTGTCACAGAGCTAGGGCAATAGCCCAGCCAATCTCCCTTCCTGAGCATCTCCCTGGAAGGTCCTTATGAATGCTTCTTCCATCTCCTCCCCCTGTACCCAGCCTTTTAGATTCATAAGATCCTGTGCTAAAAAGGTCCTCAGAGATCATCTGGACCAACCTAGACTTCAACAGGAATCCCCTTTCCAATATCCATAACAAGTTGCAGACCTCCAATGATGAAGAATCAAACACTGCCAGAGAGAGATCATTTCACTTTGGGGCAGTTAATTAATAGCTAATAATATTAATTTGTTTTCTGGTTATGGCTGACTCTTTGTGACCCCATTTGGGGTTTTCTTGGAAAAAATAAGAGTGGTTTGTAATCTCCTTCTCCAGCTCATTTTACAGATGAGGAAACTGAGGCAGACAGAGGTTAAATGACTTGTCCAAGGTCACACTCCAGCATAAGTATCTGAGGCAGCATTTGAACTAAGGTCTTCCTAATTCCAGGTCTAGTACTCCATCCACTGCACCACCCAGCTAGAAAGTTTGTCATTACATTGATCTAAAGCTTCCCTCTCCACAGCCCCTTGCTCCTACTTCCATCTTCTGCTGAAAAGCAGAACAAACACAATCCATTTTCCACAACCACCTTCCAGTTATCGAACGCTGCCATCATGTCTCCCTAAGTCTTCTCTTCTCCAGGCTAAACATCCCTAGTCTCTTCAAGCTCACAAAAGTGTAGAGTCTGAGTTAGAAGGGACATCTAGTCCAACCTGTACATGTCATTCTTTTCCCTCCACATCTCCAGCTTAGTGATCACCTAGTCTTTAATCAAAGGACCCTGTCCTCTGACATCGTGATTTCAGCTATGGTCTGGTAGAGTGGATAGAGTGCTGAGACTGAAGTCAGGAAAAACTGAGTTCAAATCTGGCCTCAGATTCCTACTAGCTGTGTGACCCTAGGCAAATCACTTAACTTTTGTCTGCCCCAATTTCTTCATCTGTAAAATAGGGATGATAATAGCATCTACCTCCCAGGGTTGTTGTGAAGATCAAAATGATATAAAATGTGTAAAGGACTTAGCACAGTTCTTGGCACTTAGTAGGTACTCAACAAATGCTTGTTTTCTTTCTTCCTTTCAATTCCCCAACCATCTTGGTCATCCTGCTTTGGATGAGCTCCAGCTTGGCAACATCCTTTCTAATGTAATAAGAGTTGATCAGGGGAGAGTCTGAACAATCTGATGAGTCACCTCTATCAATTTGATAGCGAAATCACACACAATTGTCCCTGAGCCGACTGGGCTCTCTCTCTCCCCTTCTCTATCTCTCCTTCTCTCTCTCTCTGTCTCTCTCTTTCTCTTCTCTCTCTCTCTGTGTCTCTCTCTCTTTCTCTTCTCTCTCTCTCTCTCTCTCTCTCTCTCTCTCTCTCTCTCTCTCTCTCTCTCTCCCCCTTCTCTCTCTCCTATCTCTCTCCTGTCTCTCTTTCTCTCTCTTTCTCCCTCTCTTTCTCTTTCTCTCTCCCCTTCTCTTTCTCTCTCTCTGTCTTTCCTCTCTCTCTCCTCTCTCTGTTTCTCCTCTCTCTCTCTCTCTCTCTCTCTCTCTCTCTCTCTCTCTCTCTCTCTCTCTCTTCTCTCTCTCTCTCTCTTTCTCTCAGCTCCTACCTTTAGAATCATGCTCACCAAAAGGGTTCATGTTTCTCAAGAGAGGAGAACCCTCTGGCTCTTTATAATCCCATCCCAGAGGTTAAAATCACTCGAGATTTGCTTCCTGCATAGGATTTCCTCAAAAAGGAGGAATAGAAGGTACTCAATGTATAATATACATTATATAGAACAGCTATTTATTTCCTCCACATAAAAGAAATGCTATTAGCACAAAGACTCATAAGTACACATTGACAAAGACTTAAATATGCAGGAGTAATTTATAACTACCATAATATTCTCCTGGTGGTTGATACTTGAAATTAAAACATGAAGCATTTAGAAGGATTATTGAATAGGCATTTCACTCCATTTCAGCTCTGTCCTCTCTCTCAAGGTCATATCTTCTGGCAAGCCACTCCATGAGCTCGGCTCCTGCTTCTGTAGGTGGTCATCTTCTCCTCCTCCAAGAAGCACTGTAGTAGCTCTGAGGGTCATTTCCCAAATTGTAGCCTGTAATAACCAAGGAACATAGGCACTTTCACTTTCTCAAACTCACAAGACTGCCTTCAAGGGTGGAAATATTCAACCCAGGATTGCTGTTTGGCTACCTACACTCAGGCAAAGAAACACAAAGCAGAAGAGGCATTCAGGGCCTTAGATCCCAAATCAGGTTCACCAGGAAGAGTGGTTGTTCTGGTAGCCATATAAAGTACTCACCTTCTTGCTGGAAAGATTCACAAAGGAAGAGAGTTACATGGCATATGTTCCAGAATAAGAAAGGAAGAGGGAGGAATTAATGTAGCCTCTTCCTCCTGCTGTCATGGATGTGAAGGGGTTGCTATGTCATCCCAACGCACCAAGTGTTCAGCCTTGAGGGAATATATGTGGCCCACCAGAACAGGGAATATATCAGCCCAGCTCCAGGCAATACACATGACAATGGAAGTGGGCTAGCTTTGGATATCCTTTAGGAGGTGATCGTGAGCCACAGCAAATCCTGAGGGGGTTCCCCTGATTATACCCATCACAATGAAATCACAGGTTATAGACCTTTGGCAGAAATGGTATCTCCCATGGAACTAGAAATGCCCTGGTCCTTCACTAGGAGGATTCAGGGCACTTCTCTGATTGGTCTTCAGTGACCAGAGCTACCTCTTGACAATTGGTTGACTGAGGTCCAGGAGGACAGGTTCTTTTTGGAGGAATTATCCTCCCTGTTGTATATAAACTTAAGTTGTAAAAAACAGTTTCATCTCTCTCACCTCCATTTTTCTAATTCAGCTTTCTCCCCCTGGACTTCCAGATCTGAGTCTGTAAGAAGACATTTCATCCCAAATGCGGGCATTTTTACTGGCTGTCTCCCATGCTTGCAATGCTCTCCCTCCTCATCTCTGTCTTCTGGCTTCCTTGGCTTCCTTTGAGTCCCAGATAAAATCCTAATTTTTCAGGAAGCCTTTCCTAACCCGTCTTAATTCCAGTGCCTGTTATTTCCAATTTATCCTGTAGGTAGCTTGCTTGTACGTTGTTATTTGCATGTTGTCTCCTCCACTAGATTATATGCTCCTTGAGGGCAGGGGATTGTATTTTGCCTTTCTCTGTATCTCCAGAATTTAACACAGTGCCTGGTACATAATAGGTGCTTAATAAATATTTATTGACTAAGTGAAACAAGAAGGGAATGGATTTCTCACTTCCTCTTCACCAGTAGTAGAAAAATAATGACTTGCAGGAGGCTAAGAACATGTCAAGCCCAGCCTATCTGAGGCTGAAATTGAACTAAGGTCTTCCTAACTCCAGGTCTGGTATTCCATCCTGAGGCTGGAGTTCTTGGACTTTGGGTTTCTGTCTTCCCCTTTCTGCCTGTTTCCTTTTCTGAGCACGTTCCAGAAACTAGCAAACCTGAGAATAGATTATTCCAGCTTTGGAGTTTCGTCTCAGGTAATCCTGAGTCTGAGAGTTCCTGAGTTTTCAAGTGGGGCACTAGCATCCTGGAGGGAGAAGATTTCACTAACAGCATGCTACTTGGAGGAAAAAAGAATTTCCCAACTCAAGAACCAAATTCATTATATGACAAGCCAGGAAATTTATAGTTTGCCAATATTACATGACATCGCTGTACAGTGCATGGACAACACTGGTCTGAGGTGAATGGGAAATATTTGTTCAGCAGTCCCACTTTGGGGCAGGGGACAGGGACTTTAATAAGTGTAATGAGCTAATTGAGTGTTTTATGTTTCTTATAGTTGTTCAAATAATCCTATGAGCCTTTTACATCACAAGCATTTTCTGTTGTAGAGAAAATATAAAGCTGTCCCAAAAACAGTACCCATATTCTACTTTGAGTATATTTGTTGGAGAAGACACTGTTACTCATATTCGGGGGAAACTAGGCATGAGCCATACTAAGATTTGTTTTAGATTCCCGCAGAGTAGGGGCAGAGCCAAAGAGAAAACTTGACCCATTTTGTGAAAACTGCAGAAAACACAAAAATGTAACACCCACACCTGAACACTGTACTCCAGATATGGGTTGATTAGGGTAGGTGACAGAAGGTAACTAACCTTCTGTTAATGCAGCCTAAGCTAGCATTGGGTAGTTAGATGGCAAAGTGGATAATGCACTGGGCTAGGAATCATGAGTTCAAATCCAGCCTCAGACACTTACTAGCTGGGTGCCTGGGCAAGGTTTTATTTACCTGTTTACCTCTGTTTCCTCATCTGTAAAATGAGCTGGAGAAGGAAACGGCAAACCATTCCAGTATCTTTGCCAAGAAAATCCCAAAAGGGATCACAAAGAGTCAGACACGACTGAACAACAAGATAACATTAGCTTTTTTGGCTTCTAGCTCACACTCTTCAATTTCACAACTACCTAGACATTTATTATACAACTACAGAAATACTTATTTGTGATGATCCATATAGAGCCTATAGTCCAAAAACAAAACCAAAAGCAAACCCAGGCAATTTATTACAGTGATTGCCTAGACATATTATCCCCATTTTATGATTGTACGGTTGTTTTTGTCATGTTGGTTGCTTTTGAAATCAGCTCCATTTTTAAAAATCAACTCCAACAAGTATATATATTTTTAAATGGATTTTGAGTGAGCTGTTTTGCTGTTTTAAAACCATAACAAATTGATATGTAAGAGGCCTGAAAACAACACAGCAATGGTTCTGGATGGATCAAGGTGTTCCCATAGCAAGGCTAAAGAGTTCTCAGCCTCTGGTCTTTGAGAGTTAGAAGTCCAGTTCTTGTTGTTTAGACAGTTCTCTGCCCAGTATCTCTGGAGAGGAAGCATCATAGTCCATGTTCTAGCCAGATCTGAACAACAACAAAAATGGTCCCTTGGCCCAGAGCTCTATTGATGAAGGGCTTAGCCTCAGGCATTATATAAACAACAAAGACCCTTCCCACAATGCCATGCCAGCTTCTCCTTGTTTTTCTTGTCAAATTCCTTCTTGATTTGAGCCACTACTATTACGTGTTCTACTTTGTTAGTGCTGTCTCTCCTTCAACATGACTTCATTTTTATAATGGAACACAGGTGATAGAGGTGTTTTGATAAATGTTTAACAATCAGCTCTTGGGGAATGGGGCAGGGGGAATGGGAGACAGACAATGTATGCAGGACAAACATAAGTTTAACCTGAATTGTTAGCATTTTTTCCATCACTTTCTTAAATCAGATCGTCAACAAAACAATAAATCAAGCTCTGGTTTGCAGCATTTGTGGATTTCTGAGGTGCAAACGCTCACACTGAAAATTTAACAACCTCTCAATAGCCATTCAGGCTGGCTCTAGTATATCCTGAATGGGTCGAAGAGGAAGTTAATGAGTCTTAGACAAAGTTCATTACTTTCTTTATCATTGCTCATCTTAGAGCTGAGTTTTTATTTTTTAACGTGAGCATAGGACTTTACATTTATTTCATAGAAGTTTGATCTTATCAGTTTTCACCAATTATTCTAACTTGTTTTGATATCTTTTTAGATACTGGTCCTATTATCTACTATTTTAGCTAGCCTTTTCTAATTCTTCCTCCATGAATTTGATAAGCGTACCACCTATACTGTCATGAGCAGATAAAATCATATTAAACAGGACAAGGCTAAGGAGAAATAATGACTCCAGAGACCTCTCTCTAGGAAGATCCCCCTTTGGTCCCATTTGCTCTACCAACTCCCAAGTAACATTTCATACTCTTGTCTAGCCTACATTGTGAGAGATGTTGTCAAATGCCTTGCTAAAATCCAGACATTTGGCATTCTCCTCTGACCTCCTAGTAGAGGAACCCTGTCAAAAAAAAGAAAATGAAATTAGTCAAATATGGCTTCTTGAGGAACCCATACTGGTTCATAGCAATTACCACTTCCCTTTCTAAGTGTTCACAAACAATTCTTCAATAATACATGCATAACTTTGCTTGAAATCAAAGTCAAGTTTACCACAGGGCCTGTAATTTAAACAATAGCCCTTCATAGAAGAAAAAAGCCCATATGTACAAAAATATTTATAGTAACTCTCTTTGTGGAGGCAAAGAATTGGAAACTGAGCAGATGCCCATAAAATGGGGAATGGTTGAAGTGGTTATGGTATGTGAATGTGACAAAATACTATTGTGCTCTGAGAAATGATGAAGGCAATAGTTTCAGAGAAATCTGGGAAGACTTTTATGAACTGGGTGATGCACAATGAAGTAAGCAGCACCAGGAGAACAATTTATAGAATAACAACAATAATAATAACAACAGTGAAAGACTTGAGAACTCTGACCAACTCAATGACCAATCACAATTCCAAAGGACTCATGATGATACATGGTGTCAACCTCTTGATAGAGAGCTGATGGACTTAATACAGATTGAGATGTGTTTTCTTTTTTAGACATGGAGAATGAAGGAATTTGTTTTGCTAAAATATATATGTGTAACAGGGGTCTTGTTTTTCATGCTTTCTCAAGGAGGGAGTGGGAGGGAGAGGCAGAGAGAAGGGAGAGAATGCAGACCTGAAAACAAAAATCAAATTAAATTTTTCAAAAAGGAAAGAAAATTTATAAACAAATGTGATTGAACTACATTTCTAATATAAATGTACATAAATAAGTAAATATGTATAAATATATAATCTCATATAACAAATATAAATAAGTACAGTTCCTTTTTATTAAAAATTAGAATATTGACTGTCTCCAATCCTGCAGCACCTCCTCTGTAGTCCAGTTTTCCCAACACCACTGACAGGGCCTCAACAAGCCCATCTGTCCTTTCCAGGGCCCTGGAAAGTAGTATTGGGCAGCATGAAAAGCACAGGACATGAAATCAAAGGCCCTGAGTTTGAAATTCAGCTCTGCTGCTTATTACCTGTGTGACCTTAGGTAAGTCACAACCTTTCTTTGTTTCAGTTTCCTCATTTATAAAAAGAGTGAGTTAGACTAGATGATCCTTAAGATCTAAGGTCCCTGAATCTAATGCTATGTAATTTGTCCAGGTCCAATGACTGATA